TTGTAGGGTGCCTCCGTTCACTGCACCACAGGCACCCATTTCAATTTATAATGTTAATTATGAACTGAAATATGCTTCTTGAAGGAGGTAACTGCTTTCGAATATTTACAAATTGGGAATAGAGATTGATCAAAAGATGTAGAAATTGGCATTGTCATTTAATTGGTGGATTTTTCTATAGTTTTTATCAGAGAGATCAAAGTCACTGTCCTATCGATCTTGTTGAATATTCTAGAAAATCACAAAGGACTCTTCCCTGTGAGGTTGTCTTCATCCTGCGCGTTCTTCATCACTTTGTTCTTTTTGTTTCCTTTTGCTCTTTCTCGCCCACCTCTATCTTTATTCCACTGATTTGCCAGTATATAACAAACTTTTTTGTTCGTCGTTTTAGCCAAGTTTTGATTGTCAAGAATTTAATACTATGGCATTAAACCATGCCTTCCGACGATGACTTCAACTTCGGGACCTTGATCTTCATCTTCGGGAGTGACAATGAAGAAACAGAATCTGGTGGATTGGTGCTTGGAACCGACAGATTTCTAAGGTTTTTTATGACTGATATGTGGAGGCTGGTCGTGAACGAAGCTGAATAGTGAGCAGTTGGTAGCGCAACGACATTGGAGAAATGGTGCTTTAATGAAAAGACGAGAAGAAGTACATTGTTAATGCCGTGCGCACTTCACGACGACGCGCCCTTCCACCAACACATCAAAACCAGACATGATTGAAAGGCACATCCAGGCGAAGCTTTTCGTGGGCATAAGTGTTCATATAGCGGCCTAGTGTTCATGTGCAGCAAGTAATGCCTACATTTCTCTCTCTTCATGCTAGATACATCGTTTTTGTCGATGTTCTAGGTACATACTTCTCTTCTTCCACCTACCAAAACGTTCCTGTCGAACGCGTAGAGGATATAATAAACCGTTGCGGAAAACTTTTTGATTGAATAACTCACATTGTTGAAGAAAACGGCACCAGGGGTTCAAAAAAAAAATGGAGACGATGTGTAGGATATTTCAAGGCTGTTACAGAGCAGCACGATCGGAAATATACTGCTGTACGTGCCACAAAGATAAGCGTTAGATGCAGTCGTTGCAAGGAGCACGTTGTTTGGAACTTTTCTGTAGATGTAATGCACCGCGTTTATAACCAGTACATCTTTTATATTAAGGTTGTTTATTCTAACCAACAAGTGAAGCTTTAAGTCAAGACTGCGACGGTTTTTGGTACGTAAGAGTGGTCTCTGAGTGATCTCTGAGTGAACTCCTTCGATTTTTACTGTAGGCGAGAATTGCAAGTTGTTATTGTTTCTATTGTTGTCTTTATTATAGTCTTTTATAGCTAATAATGTTGCTATTAAAATTAGAATACTAATTATATTATTAGTTTCGGAACCCACTTTCCTCTAACCTCGGTGTGGCTAATCAATATGTATTCTTTCCTTGATTAGCTTACACGAGGTTGATAAAGATGTTTATTATCGGCTAACGTTTCGACGTCTTCGTCTTCATCGAAGCCGATGATCCGACTCGATGGTCCACGCTTGTTATTCGTGGACCATCGAGTTGGATCATCGACTCCGATGAAGACGAAGACGTCGAAACGTTAGCCGATGATAAACACCCTTCTCAACCTTGTTTAAGTTTACCAAAGGAAAAATACATGTGTTATTAGTTGTTAGTTATTAAAATCATTGATTATGAAGATAATGTCATATAGGGTATATATGTATATGTAAATATATATAGTGTGTACCTTTGTTTTACAATGTAAGTTTGGATTTGTGAAGTAAATACAAAATGAAAACGTGGTAAGACTTGATAGATGCTTCAATGTAGAAACTGTGTTCAATCGAATCCCACTGATGAGCGCATGGCCTGCGAAAACCGAGTCACTCTGCGAAGGTTCTCTTGATGGTACCGTCGTGATCTAATCGCAACGAAAAGCTCTCCCTAAGTGTCGAATCGTAGTCTTCAAGCAAAGGCATTTCTGCGCCTCTTCGCTTGCCATACTGTCTACGCTGCACACTCATCAACGGCAGCAGTCTCTCTAAAATATAACCTCGTCTAAAGAGGTTTTCTTTTGTAAAGTATGAAGTGTAGAGAACTTTCGTTAAGGTGTGACGCTCTATCCACAGAATAAAAATGCTTCGGCAAAAATCTCTGTAAACTACAAAGAAAGAGTGCGACACGTATCAATATGGCTTGTATATGTTAAATACTGTTACGTTCCGAGCACTTTTTAAGAGGTTTAGTATTTTGCTGCCATATAAACGAACCCGTATCCGGTCTTTTCAGGGCTCTGATCCTTTCAGGGTCCGGAAACTGTTATCAGACTTGCTCCCTCTGATCCTCAAAAGATGGCTCCTGTCTACGACAAAGATCTGAGGAGCGCTGTCCAAAATTCCAGAAAGAATCGAATTAACTACCTTTTAACGACATTCATAAAGAAGATCAAAATGTCAAAGCATCAGCCGAAACCATACGTAAAATCCGAAGACACTTGTGAACGATGGGTGCAAAGAGACGAATAGAATGAAAGAAGCGGGTCTGCACAATATATGAACTCGGCTAATGTAAAATGAAATAGAATGAAATAAACCAACATTTGAATGTTAGAATTTTTCGTGCGCACAAAGTAGAACAAACCACTATTAGTGAACTTTTCTCCGATCTTTGAGCACTTTCTTCCTTTCTTTTCTGCTTTTTTTGCTTCAGCTAAAACACACAGTCAGTGGCCTGGAGCGCCGACATTATCCTAACTCCTACGCCATTTACATTCACATTTGTTATGTTCATTTGTTCGATTTCTTTTTACTTCGGTCTCTCTTTCTCATACCCATTTCTGCATTATTCTTCCTAACTTTTTATTTAACTCCGTTTGCTGTTCAACCAAACAGCACCAGCAAGCTCCTCTTATCTCTTCGCTCCTACTTTTCTAATAATCCATTAGATTTATGTTGTTCAAGACATATCGAATTATTCCTTAAAGTAACCAAGGTGGTTACCACTCACCGTTCAGATTCATGCACGCTCTTCTCCACCACCTGTTTATTTTTACACTTTCGCCAATACTCCCACGAAATTGTTAGAGAAGGTGGCGCAACTGATCATATCGCTCTTTCTCATTCCGCTTCGAACATATCCTGTTACGCCTCCATAACCACCACTTTGCCCTAGAGCTGCAAAATCATGTTTATCACGTCAGCTACATATTCATAGGATTTCGGCAGTACTTCTGTACTGTTTATTTTAGTGTTGCTTTCAGCTGATATTAGTAACATTCGATTACTTTCTTGGTTTAGCGATGGTCTACGAGTGCATAACAGAGCTGTGAGTTCTTCATCTTTTTCCAGCAAAATGCTGGAAAGAGTATTTGATCTCATTTGTGTTCTTACATCATTTTTTTAAAAAGAGTATCGAGAAATCAGATAATTACCTAATAACCTTCCATCTCTGCGCAAATTAAAAGTTTTCCGAAGAAAACTCTTCAGTAACCGTTTCCTTAATGAGCCAACATTAACAGATGTCGAGGAAAATATCAAAAGTGCAAAGTATCAAGTGGGATGACATCTATTTTCATCGTATCCTGTGTGGATCTAAGATTCCAGCACATTTAACCAATTCTTTTAGCCTTCTAGCATTCGTCGTCCATGAAGATCTTTGGATTTGCGCGCAGGTTCGACCGCAATTTAAGGATTTTAGTCTTCTCCATGAATATCGTAGAAGACTAGTCAAGACGATCCTGCCTGGGGAAAGATTAAATTAGAAGAGGACGATCACCTAGATGACATCTGTGTACCTTTTTGAATGATTTGAACTTCCCGTAAAGGTATTCTTGATAAGTATAAGAACTTCGGGAATTCAAGAAAACGTAATAGATATTGATTCATTTGCACCTCATCAGCTGTTCAAAGGAATTTCATCACTCTCACTTCCCTTGACACAAGCCGTGTTAAAAGGGCTCAACTGCCCTTTGTGCAGCCTCATTTATTTGCCAGTGGAAGCAGGATGAGTTTACTAAACGAGTGTGAGTTAAAGTGTACAAAGCTCCGATATCAGCGATTCTCCTAAAACACATTTCAATAGACTTCAGTTTAAATTCAAATAAAGAAGCTGAAACAGAGATTGTATGAAATTTTCGATACATTCGGTAGGCGACCGTTGACATTCGTTTGGGAACGGTGACATGTGGGCATAATACATCTGTAAGAAAATCCATAGACATTACTGTACTACAGTTTTAGACACCATTCTCTAAGTATAAACATCGTTCCGAGAAGTGAAGAACTTTTTTTAAAATATCGTTAGTTTCCTTGCGATAGTTTTTCTCATAGGGCTAATTCCAAACAAGTACACGTTAGGTTTCTGTGTTTTACCCCTGCTAATCAAGATGTCCATCCCTCACATTGATGGTCTGCAAATTGGTGCCAGATATGCTTAGCAGAAGCTCACTTCGATATACAAATGCCGGCGACTGACTCTTGTGAAGATCTGGGAACGACTTAGCATAATCATTCCAAGGCTGTAGGGAGAATGGGAGAATCAACTATCATTCAAGCAGTATTAAACAACATTAATAAAGAGGACGAAATATCATCAAGCAGCACGCACAAATTCCATGACCATCGTGTGATGGTTGCGAAGGGACGGCTTGAATAAAAGAAATGCTGGAATCCGCAGAATAGGTGATGCCGGGTTATATAAAAATTGTAATGTTTTCATTTAATTTCGTTTATCTGTTTTATTTACCGTTTATGGGTTTAAAGACATGTCCATGCGCGACTTCAAATGTACGAAAATTTTTTAAAATTTTAAATTGTGTTGAGCTTACAATATCATCTTCTAAACAGCATGGGCAAAATGCTCTCCCATTAGAGGGGAGAGTAGGATGGAGGATATGTTAAAACTTGAAATATTTCAGCCACTCTACGAAAATTTGAAGCAAGGTTTTTTTGGGTCTTTAAATATTCTTCAAATCTTTATCTCGTTTTTATCGCTTTGAGATGTTACTCTTTCAGTGCAACCGGCGCGTTGCTCGACTCACTGGCCCATCCAGGAGTTGCCATAGGGGAGCCAGAAGGTGTTGATCGTGAGCGCCTAGTACGAGTATTCATAAGGTAAGGAGCGATTACTGAAAAAAATCTATGAGAAAGGTAATACAACTATTTGAACACTTCGTAAGAGTTTTGAACTTTTCATGCTCAAGAGCGGAAATATTCAGCACTATGTATCCCCCAGTTCGTAACTCGGTGATTTACAGTTTTTCATCATTAATCTTCAGGAGATTCTTATGCTTCAGGCAACTACTACTTGCATTGAAACACATGCATGACATGCGAATTGCTCACTTGGATTTACGACCGGAGACGATCATGTTGCAAGACGATAAATTGAAACTTGTTGATTTTGGACAGTCCAGGTGATCTTCGTATCAATCAATTCATAGTCAAGAAATGGTGCAACGAGCTAGCTAGTGGTTTGGCTTCTACCAGTTGCATTTTCTTGGTTTTCTCACCGATAAAAGGAAAGTACAAAAATGTAGATAACTTAAAAATACGGTAGCAATAGACCTGTAGTGAAACGCTCTGCTGTGACGTTGAGACGTTCCATAGAAGTTTTTATTGGCAAAAAACTTTCAGGAGACTACTACGTGGTCTGATCACTGGATCGATTCAAGGCACGTTTTAGAGAGTTGTTTCTTTATGTGCCCATTTAAGATTTTACAAGCTTTCTAGTATTGCTTTTCTTATTTCTCATTATTCTTATTTTTTGTGACGCATCTTCATATTTACTGTCCGGGTCCCAGCACCTCTTGCATTGGATTCGTTTCCTTGCATTCAGCATCCATGAAAATCTTTGGACAAATCGCCTGTGAGCTCAGTTTCTGCTTCAGGAACATTGAATTCATCAGGAATATCGTTGAATATTAATCTAGTCGATTATCGCTGGACTTTTGGAGTAGCCGTGCTAAAGAGTTATCACATAGATTGAGCAGAGTGAGCTGGTCCCACACGAGTCTGGTGTCAAGCTAACCGACCCCAGAGAGATGGGAGGCTTGATAAGCCGGCGTTGGGTTACCAGCACTCTGGTGGTGATGCTCACACCACGAACACTGTACTACCAGCGAAATACTGGAAATTATTATTCTTATTATTCGTTATTATCACTACTGTCATTGCTCTTGTTTCCATTTATCACTTATTCTTCTTCTTTTTTCATTATTCTTAATATTCCTATTATTATTATTGTTAGTGAGCTGATAGCGCAGTGGCAGGAATCCCAATCATTACGCGGACAGCGTTTCTCATCCACTCGCTCAGTCGACCCCAGACAGGACCAGCAAGTGTCTCATTCCTGGGTTTGGGAAATTGGCATGGGATATGCTTGGAAAACTCTCTTCCTCTAATCCATGTTGAAAGTCCTTAGCATAGCTATCGCAGGATTTCAAGGAAACTTGATTCGATCAGCTTTCAACAGCATTTATATCGAAAGTCGATGCCACATTTAAAGTAGTTCGAACACTTCGTGTGTGATAGATGCGAGGAAGCGAGCTGAAAGTAAAAGGTGTTGAGATCCGAACCATATGCGATTTCGGACCATCCAATAATAATGATAAAAATTACTGTTGAATATCATTACTTTCATTGTTATAGCGCCTATAAAACATGGCTGAGAGAAAGGCGAAACAAAGGACACTTATGGTGTGGTGGTGAATACGTTAACCGCCGGAAAGAGTAATAGCGTGATTCGATCCCCGCCGCAGACACCTGTGGTCCTAAGTTTCGCCAATATCTCAGCACAGTTGTGGTAGTTCACATCATACTATGGCAGAGAAAAAGAATATGCAGTAAATAGGAAAGTGATTACATTCTTATTATATATTACTTTTTATTATCACAATTTATTGCTGCGCCTCTCACTGTTATTTTTACCATTATTTACTATTATTATTGCTTATTATTATTACCGCAGCTGATCACTTATTATTATTATTATTATTACTTTTACTTTTTACTATTACTATTACTTTTTATAACTATTACCATCGCTGTCGTGATGGCTTCTTATTACTTCTAGCACCGTTGTAGTTGTTATTTCTATTATTTAGTATTTAGTAGTAAATATTTGTCACAGGAACACCGGAGTTTGTCTCACCGGAGATTGTTCGTGGATATCCGCTTACACTTGCGACAGATATGTGGAGTGTTGGAACTTTGACTTATGTTTTGTAAGTAATACTTGTGGAAAAAACAAGTAGAAATCCTTTCTATCATTTCTTTCTATTTCTATATTTCTATGTAGTATTACAAAAAGCCGTTACAACAAAATACTCGCTATTCAAGTCGGGGTTAAATAAAACTCAGTGTCGGACATAGCGAATCGTTCAGACTGACGGGAATTTCGCCGTTCCACGGCGACGACGACAACGAAACGCTGGCGAACATCAGCAACTGTGCGTACTCACTAAAGGGCGACGAGTGGAAGCCGTTTACTGACGAAGCGATCGGCTTCGTTACGAACCTACTCAAGGAAATTCCTGCGTGGGTTCCTGTTCCTTTACATCTACTGGTCTAGGAAAAGCATACTGAGGGGTCTTTAACCATTTTCATTGATTTTCCTTGCAGCTAAACTATTTGTCCTAGTTCGTTTATGCTTAATTTATTCCGACGTACGGTAATTTTGGAATAAATATGATATACGTATTACTTTTGGAAGATTCAAGTTTCCGGCGCCTTTCAGTTCTATACTTATTTGATCCTTGATACTTGAATGGCCCGTCCTCACTAGTTGTGCGGACCCCATCATAATCTCCGTTTTTCGGAGATTTGCTGGTGAAGCCATTATGGTTCCCTTGAGTCCCGAGGTCAGCCCAGCCAAAGTCAGTCCCTGGTCTTTACCACCACAGGCAACCGTAGCCCTTGTGGAACAGAGGGAAATTTATCACCATGCGACTTTGATACCAAGGCGGTAGTTGATCCTAGTATTGGTTTACTCTTAGCTAGGCTTTCTGATGGAAACGCCGGACTCCTTTTCAGTTTGGGAGACCTTGCCAGCGTATGAATCCCTCCGCTGTACATCGCAGCCCAACACGCAGGAACACCTCCCAGCTACGATGAGGCGGTAAACTGTTGGGAGGTCTAGTTCTATATACCAAACGAATTTTCCCGAAATGAAAAATTTAGCATTTTCATCTGGGAACACTAAAATGTGAAGCTATTTCACAAGAGAGTCTGGAAAGCAACATATGGCGCCATTATTGTAGCTCTTCGTATGTCGTTCAAGACAGGAATCAACAAAGTGGTTTTAACGCGTGTCAAGGATGAACGTCAAGCAAGAATGAGAACCAGGATATTCGCATTAGGACAGCTCAAAGAAGCGACCGACTCACTAGCTAGCGGACTACGCTCTCAAGCTAAGCTAAGAACTGTTTTCAAACTGACCGTCATTTAACCTCGGTAGAGGTTTGGTTAGTAGAGGTTTAAACTAAAACCACCTTCTCGCTTTTTCAACTCGACGTTCATGCGAACGCTATTTTGCAATAGAATCGCGTGGTGGCACTTCAGCTACGTTGAGAATATTGCACACTACTCACAGAGCGCTCAAATGATGTCTTCTTAAATTTGGCCAGTACTCACAACACCTAGCCGGAATACGAGGCTCAGATCTTCAAAACCTATTTCGTAACGGGAGTATGCCAGCTTATATTTTCGGAACCTATATATCTTCGGAATCCAAGAGAATAGACATTTATAGCGAAGCAAAAATGGAACGTAAATGGATTTAATAAGGAGAACAGACGACAGACGAAGACAACAGTAAGATCTACTCTCAGAGAATGGAAGCGTGTTTTTGGAAGACCAACCAAATGGTGTGAGGGCGTGTTCGTGGCTAACGTCAGCCATCTACATTCGCAGATGGAAATGATTGCAGGAATATGGAATAGGCCTTTCGACCGTCATCATGTTCGAAGCAAACCATCACCATGGACGACGCTGTATCGAGAGAGAAGCGTATAGTAATTATGTTGGAGCTCGCACTACCGGTGAAAGTGGACCATCGAGGTATCCATGTAAGTAACGATGAATAACGAGTTTACTGATGCTCGCTCGAGTTAATCGATGATTAAAAGGGTTGCAAATGATGCGGGTGTTGGTGATATGGACATTTAGCCGGTCTGTATTCACAAGGCTTTGTGTGGAATGAATATATTTAAGTTGCAGATTCCAGATTCTTCGCAATATTTTTTTCCAGAGTTTTTTGAAGCGCGTGTCAAGGCCTTTCCATCTCTTTACCACAGGCAGTCGTTAGCACTACCAAATCGTAGGGAACGCTACCACCTTAGTATAAAGTTTTTTTTTCAACGGCGACTGCGATTTCTTTGGCACTAATTTATCCTTGGCGTTTTTGTATGGAAGTGTTGAATTCGTTATGTTTGATTGTTTTATATTTTAGTACATTTTTTGATTGGTCGTACTTAAGAGATTAACATGCACATAGTTCGACTCTAAGAGGTATCCGCAACTCTAAAGAAAAAGAGTTAATTGGTATAATACTTTCTAAAAAATTCGCTAAAACCGAAAATAAACATCGGAAGGACCTTTTCGATTGCTCAGCACTATTTTAACTATTCCAAAAGCAATTTTTTCAAAGTATATTTTTGATTTAACAACTCATGTAGTCATAGATTTCCATATTTGATCCAGCCACACTAGAGTATTTGCGCGTTCTATTGCTTTTATATTGTAACAACTTAAATGTTTTGTACAAAGACATGAGTTTTCAAAATGTAATCTCCGGCTTTTATGTTCAGTGAGCGGATGACAGTCGACGAAGCACTGGGACATCCATGGATTGCTGATCCCAATCTGAAAACCATACCTCTGACAGCGGATTCCTTAAGAGAATTCAAGTACCGCCATAAATGGCTGGTGAGTTCGGCTCTGGTCACCTTATTTCTTTGTGTTCTTTTTTTTATGGAACAAAAATTATCTTCCAGAAAACAACTTCACAAGATTTATATAGCAGGAGGACGTTGCTAATAACAGATCACAGTTTTAAAAATGAAAGGAAAATTAATACAAATCGGGAACGATATGTTTTGAGTGCTGAAAAGAAATCCAAGGTCTACTAATGTACGAATCAAATTTCATCCAAGCATGCGTTAACTGTTCCTTAATAAAATCAGAAAAATTATATCGGTCCATTGTTGTTTATTTTTCAACTTTAGCCTTAGTGATGTAGTATGCCTGTGGTCTTGATGAGTGGTATTATTCTTAACCAAGATCCAGCACGTTTTTCCTTCAAGGGGGAGCTGATCATATTGCTCGACAACGTACTAGATCGAAATTTTCCTTCGCAACACGATAACTAGTGAGAGTGCAAACCCAGGTTTCGTTCGCATCTGGGTGAATGCTATCTGATTCACACACTATTGTAAGAGTTGTTTTGGATAACATTGTTATCGTATAGCGGTAGTGTATCAGCAATAAATAAGATAACAAAAGAAGCCGTTAGCAATCCTGCTATGTAAAAAAAAAGTCCTACCAAATTTTATCTACAAATATAATACGTCGATTTTTCTTCTTTTTCCTCTTTTTTTTCTTCTCAACATGCCCTGATTAAAATGCTTGTAATTCGCCGCGTACCGGCAGATTGTTTCAGGAACGACGCGTCTTCGTTCAACAAACACCAAGTGAACAACTGTTGGAAGCGCTACAGGTATGACTCATCTCTTTCTTTTGAACTTTTTTTTTGAAATACTGTACTCGTAGCATAGACATATCACAATGTCTATTTTTCACCGATAAACGATCCAGGCTGGGTATCAAGCAAGAAAAGAAATAGACATTGGTGATTCACAGCGATGTTAGATAGAAGTCGATTTAGAATAGTATCACACTTTGTTTTTTTCACCTATAAGACTGAAATTTTATGTTTTACTGGTTTGTCTCTGGTAAACGAAAGGAAGCTTTGCAAAATTCATCCATAGCACATCGGCAGATTTCTTTGAAAAGGTGACCATTTCTCCATCACCCACACAGGGCCAAACTTATTGCAGAAAATTGCGTTTGTGTTTTTTGTGGAGATAAGATGTAAATATGGTTTCATAATTATGACATTTATGCAATCCTGATTTTTTCGGATACGATGACTTTTTTATCTAGACTCCTTCGATTATCACTGCTGAACCCGAAAAACGACCTGAAGCGGAAAGCGCTCGTGCAGTTGAATTGTACGACTATTTGCGAATCAAAGAGCGATCGCCACCAGCTGTGGAGAAGGTTACGGGAAGAAGAAAGGAGCGCATGGAACAGAACGTAAGGGTTCAATGTGCTGCTGACCTCTATTATGATTTTTACAGTTTTTTTATTCCTTTAAAATGAGGGACCATTTCAGCTGTGATAACTAGTAATATTCAGCTATTGTACCCATTTGCTTACCAACACTTCGATGCTCGAGATCCTCGAAATCAGCAGCCGTTTGATCATCACGATCTACAAGGTCACCAGTTCAATCCACCTGATTCTTCTCTACACAGCACTGCTGATCCCAGAGATCGTCGTCTTACCGACCCTAGGAGGCAAAGTGGACGTTCTGTAGCTGTAGATCATAACGGGCGACCTGTACCGTTGATGAAGATCCCGCTAGATCAGTTTGGTGCGTCCGAACTTTCGATTTTATGTTCAGATTGCGCGTTTACACAAAAGTGAATAAAAAAAAATGGAGGGGAGATCTATCTTCAAAGTTGACTTCAATTTCTCCCGTTGAAGATAAGAATATAGGATACAAGAAAAGCATAAGAATTTTATTCCTCTTAACGCGTACCATATTGGCATAACTTTTCAACCTTTCGTCAATTTCCTTTTCATTTCCTAATTCTTGAGCAGCCGTGTTCTTCCTTTTGGGTTTTTTTTATTATAAGGTAATATATCTTCTTTTGGGGCACTAGCTATCCTTTACTGTGCTTTTATCTCTAGGCAGACTTTTCCGTCCCGAAGATCTGGCTCGGATTCCACACGACTCATTCGGCAGGCCGTTGGATCTTGATCAACGCCTTCCACCAGATCAGTTTGGGAGAATGGCACAACTCCCTATAGATGAACTTAAAAAGGTTATTTTAGCAATAATTTTGTCATTTAATTTGCGTATAGAATAGCGTGACTCGGATTCGTCAGAGATTCCGTGAAATTTATTCACTATACCTACCACTAGTTCCCTACGCCGAGCAAATCAAGCTCGTATCCCTTTGAAGCTGGGAAATATGTATCAGGTTTGTCTTTGTCTTTTTTTTAAACTGTCTCCGATCCATCAGAGTCGAAGACTGTGCACACAGAAATGCAAGGGCTTTCCTTGATCGCGGCTGCAGGTCAGCGAGCCGAATACGTGAAGTGCTAGCTAGGATTCCTATAATGGTGATAGTTTATATTAAGAAACTATGTGCATATTTAAGAGTTGGTTCTACTTATGAAAACTTTTGTTACTGAAGCATTATTGGACTTTGCCTTTCATTATATGCGAGCGGCTAAATGTTAACTTCACCAGAAAGCCGAGAAGTTATAGTCTGGTTTCTTCTGCTGCAGCTAGGTTAGGCTTATTAAGAACCAAATTTCAAGTTAAGATGATATGATACATTGGCTTTATAATGGCGGTATTTCTTCTTTCTTCTTAGTTTTTGATTTATCATATTTTTCCGTGATTAGAATATTTCATTTTTTCAGCTAAAGAAACTTGGACCCGTTATTGTGGATCAGTTTGGCCAACCAATTCAGCGACCGAAAATACCACGTGGGGAATTCAATACTTCTTTTGAAAATGTTTAAGATGACCTCTTTTACTTTATATTTCGTTATTGCGTAACTCGACGATTTTCAGAGAATCAGAAACAAACTCCCGCGGACCAACATAACATCCAGGAAAAGAAGAAACTTGTTCCACAATCCAAAGGCGAAACTCCATCAAAGAAAATGGTGAAAACAACTAAAGTGGACGAGTTGGATGATCCTGAACTAGTTCATGTGAGTTTTTTCAGAGGTGAATTCACCGAAATCAAGTGGAATTTGAGTGAAAAAAGTTATTACCTGCATTCTAGATGAGTCATTGGTTGATCTAACTCGTTTATTGCAGCTACTAATTCTATTTTCTTTATTAAATTCAGAAGCATACTTTGTCTTTCTGGTGGTTTATGTTGCGAACTGGTCAGAGATGCTCGATTAGGTGCAAACATGGTTGTTGTTTCGATCCCGCACCCCGTGTTACCCAAGCCTTCAATCCTGCTAGGTTTGAAGAACTGTTACCAGGCTTGTCTAAGGTGATTAAGGAAACCACTGAATTGGTACATCGATGGGCTCACGTAATTCACCATATGTGCTAAATATACCCCTCTACAATGTAACTAATTGAGTCGAATTCATGGCGCATCCCTAAGGTGTTGATCGGTGCCGGACGCTCTATTGTAGTTCTTTTGACATAAATATGGCAATTTTCAGTTATATTAGGCCTATTGAGGTGTACTTAAGACTTCACTTATTACGCTCGTAGCTGTTTTCTTGATGAGCAAACACGAGGTTGTTCTCTATTCCTTATTGACAAACAGCCTGACTTTTTGGCGGATTTCGACGTCTTCAGAGCCTGGAATGGTCAAGTTGATTGGAATATAGTCAGCGATATACCTCCATATTCCCAAGAGCAAAACTGTGAAACTTGGAATTTACCCGCATTGGAAAGAAAACAGTTTCTTCACAGACCCACCGCTTTCTATGCGTCTTTCACTGATCATTCCTCCACTAATTATTGGTCAATACCAAGGTTAATGGAAAGTCGTGATTAGGAGTCACAGTTTAACCTTTTTTTCCTCGTTTTGAGGGTGGGGGTGAAGAGGAGGGAGAGAGAAAGATTCACTTTGTAATTGTCATGTTCCACCCTGTCCAATACATATATTTAGATACCTCTTCGTATGATTCGAGGGGAGCACCGAGAAATTGAAGAGGAGATTGCGAATCGAATCCTTTCCGACATCTCCGAGGAGGGTTCGATCACCGGTAGTCTTGGAAGTGCTGAAGATCTCGAGGCAATGTTCAACACCAGAAAGGTACCGTTTAGAGTTCAAATAACGAAACTGAAGCAGTAGAAACGTAACAAAATAAAACGTAATTTGAAGCCAATATTTTTAGCCAGGTCACTGCGAATTTGCGAAATTGCGAAGTCACTGTTGTTATGATATTAATGTAGTATAATGCAATTATACAATATTTGGAATTAGATCCGACAACAGCTGATGTGTTCTGTTAAAATCGAAGACGGAAATTTCCTTCTTTTTTTCTCAAAATGTCCGGTATAAAAAGAGAAGAGTTTTCGTTACGAATAAAGTAAGCTCATAAAATTACACGATAAAGGAAGAGTGACCACACATTTTAAAGAAGCCGCCTAGACCTTGCCCTCTTCATATGGCGTGCATCCATGTTTCTTCCAAAATTTTTGAAAATTTGATGAAATATGAGCATATGCGGTGCACTTCTTAGTGGTGTCTTGCAGTACACAGAACGTCTTTGACTCGATCTCGTATTTCCAACAAACCAATCTCTCCAGTATTCTGTGATCAGCAAACTGTTGGTGGGTCTTTTTGAGAGGGGAAAAACATTGACTTGATATATCAGTAGGTAAGGAGTCGAATTCATGGAGCACCCTTTGAGGTTTGGTCAATGTGGAACGCCTCTTTATCTTTTACGCTCTTAGTGAGATCAGATTTCAAGCTGTCAGCACGCGACCATTCTCTTGTTCATTAAGTTTTGCCGTAATTCAGCAGTTTACAACGTTGCTCATCTGTTCTCCATGTGGTCATACACACATTTGGATACTTTATGGCACAAAGTACTTCATAAAGTCGTCATATGCGCTCTTGTTTAGCGAGAGATTTAAGAATTTTGTTACAGTAACCATGCACACCTCTACATTGTTGTTTTCTCTTTATTTTTATAAGGAATACTCCTTCAGAAAATTTTAGATAGTAGGATTTGCTTTTCACAGCAACATTCAGCAAAATTACTTCATGATAATTCATCTGAATTGGCAAATAACGCATCTGCTTTGAGCGTCCGCCTTAGTGTTAAAGGCTCCGTTACACCTGCGATGTCTTACATACAATAGGAAACTTATCCACAAATGATAACAGACTCAGTTGTCAGTTGTGTGATAGTGGAGGGAGTTGAAGGTTCGATGACATTCATTGTTGGCACGAACATGAACCCATTGTAGTTGATAAACGCAAATCACGTTATCATATGCTTTTACCTCACTCAACAGTGATTAATTCTACAATAGTCATAATCTACGAAGCTATTTTGCGAAAGAGTTGGCCAGATGATGGCCAGCTACGGCTAGAGGTCCATATTCCTTATTGGATGTGACGAGTTACCTTCTAGCCTGAGGTCCTATTTTTAGGATACTTGGACCAATATAGTACTATTTTTTGAACTTGAAGCACCGTTTGCCTAATGAACGGGATCACTATCACTGCATTACCCGCTCGCTGAACTCAAATATTCCCCAGTGTTGTTTAATAATCGCTGGGGTGTTTAAAAAAAAACCATGTTCACCACTAATCTTGTTCATTTCATGCTTCTGAGCTGTTAATTTACAGTATAAAGAGTAAAATAACACGTCGTGTTTGCTTACCAAGAATATGAGGAATTATTTGATCAATGCCGAGCTTAGTAGAAAGTCGGTCGTGGGATTTACCTACATTTCCTTTGTATAAAGTATTTATAGAATTTTAAAGGTATTCTAGAATGCTCTAAGTCTTTGCACCTTTCAAAATAGCAAACTTTGAACTTTGGAACCTTGTCTGTTCACTTCGATCAGCTACGTTGCAAACGAATATCCGAGCTTCAGCAAGCAACTCACGAGATGCCGCCGCGGCGTTCGCGTTCGCGATCGACGACGCCGCGCGCGGAGTCGGATGCGTCCACCCCTACCGTCTCGCCCGTGAGCACCGTCAAGGAGGGTGACTTTTTCAACGATCTCGCTTCATTACCCGAGAAGGACATGAAGGTTTGTGTCGAAATAGAGCGCACTGAAAATGGAATCGTAATGAATAACGAGTATGCTTTTTTTTAGCAAGTGGTTTCAGATTTTTTGGTAATATTTTTAGAGTTTTTCAAAAATTCCCTAACTTCTTTGATGCGAACCTGTCTTTGAAATGTACCTTATTCACGGAGTTTATCATGGGGCACTTGAAAAGAAGACTGTTTTGTGTGAATCTGTAAAACATATTTTATAGATTTGTAACAAAAAGGATTTTTTTTAAATAGATTTCTTGTTTCTTTGCAGCGTTTCTTCAAGCAAGGAAATTCCGGTATTTTAGAATCTTCTTCCATTTATATCTCAACTGATATCTACTCTGCCGTTGAAAACTAACTTCAAAAACCGCAGCGATTATTTTTTAGGTAAAGTGGTGAAAATGCGACGGGCTAACTCTGAGCTGTTCTCATTTCTGTCTTGGAAGCAGTAGGTTGTCAAATGAAAGCTTCTAAGTAATCCTTATTGCTCCTTATCATCCAGTTGCAGTTCGTATCGTTAGTTTTTCTTTTGAAAGTGATCCTGATCTAAGGGGACTTTTTCGAACGTGAATATCAAAAACGCGTTGTTGGCCTCGTAGTTGTTTGTGCTCCACCTTGTGATTTCTGTTTATCCACCACCACCGTCGTCGTCGTCGATCGAGTCGACACGTGACACTTCATTCTAGGGCTAGCTTCGCAGGATTCCTGAATGTCATTGGATCAGTTCATCCTGCGTGATCACCGACATCGCTCCATCGTATCATCCTACCATATCCCTCTTAGTAGTTGAATCATGGTCGAGTTTTTCGAAAGCGTTCGTTAAATTTGTTCCTACTATTGGGCCGGGATGTTTTCTCTCGATTTCTACTTTATCGCTATATCAAATAGTCCTACCGTAATGAAGACTGGCTTTTATCGTTTGTTTTTCTTTTTAATAGCTTACACAGAGATGAAACGCTCATAATGTTTCTGATTGAGATCAGAAATCAAAAATGAACGGAGAAAGTCGTCTAACCTACACCTAGACCCACCCATACCCGATTGGAAATGATCAGTGTGTGTTTTTGGCTTCCTACAGGAAGAATTCTTCTGATCTGCTAAGTGTTTTGCATTACTATTTGCTTTCATTATCGTCCATTTAGTCTGCATAATAGGTCGCTATGAGAATGCTTAGCATCACATACTTCATAGTTTACCAATTTTTTCCTTACTAACTGGTAAGTAACTGAATTTTACACCGTAAAGTAGTAACATCCAGTTTTCTGATTTGTTGATTCTTCTAAAGTGAGATGGTTTTCGAGACCGTAGTTCTTCCATATTTTCTGTTCCCTCTGGTTCCACCCACTAGCCTAGCAACTATGAAATCAGAGTTATTGTCGGCTTCATGAAGACAGTTGTTTTCTAACAAGCTTGATTTCGATTCTATGTTAACCCCAAAATGGCAAGAGTTCTCTGACAGCTCTTGTCCAATTTTAGAGCGCTCATATGCTCATTGAAGTATTTTACGACTATACATTCAGTAAAATTTGATGTGGATTTAGTACTTCCACACGTATTAAAGTCTGAGCTATGAAGCTCGTATTATTACTGTGTAAGAATCATGTACGGCGACATTGTTTCATGTGGTTGGTGAACATCCTTGCCCAATGATGATTTGCCCATCTCCTTTTGGCAACTATGTTTGACGACTCATTATCCATTCTTGTTCACTGTTCGTTGTTTGATATGGGTTCTATTCGTTCCGTTGGCATTCAGAGTTCGAGTACTTCCATCGGACTGTGTTCATCTTTACGACAGTTTCTGATTCGTCCTTTAGTATGATGAGTTCATCTCAAAATTCAAAAACTACAATACCATGCTTGGATTCGAATATTCAGGAAAAACTAAATAAAGCTAGAAAGGTGAGTCAGAAAAAATGTAACAGCAACAGGAAACTCCACGAAAGTGATTGGAAACCCTACCATTTTTTCTACAGTCTCTACAACTTAAAAAGAACGTAGATCTACGCTCCACATTTGACTTATCATTCCTTCGTTCATACTTATCTAATTATCTATATACATAAACACTTACGTGATACTTGAACGAATCGTCCTCACTGGTTGTGCTGGACCCCAGTATAATCACCATTTTTCGGAGATTTGATGGTTATGCCATTGTGGTTCCCTGGAATCGCGAGATCAACCTGACCAAAGTCTGCACCAGGTTATCACCACCACAGGCGGTCGCAGCCCTTGTGAAACAGAGGGAGTTTTGCCACCATGCGACTTTGATACCAGAGCGGTAGTCGATCCTGGTATTGGTTACACACATAAATTGTTGGGTGTAATTCAGAACAACTTGCATTTGATACATATCGTCGGTAAAAATTGACAAAATTGGAAGTCCATTTCATTTGAAGTAAGGAAGTAGTTGTTGTTGTTACTTATTTGTACTTTTATTTTTGCAGGTTTTAAAGTCTTATGTTTTACTCGACACTTAAAAGACCACACAAGGGGGTTTAGGTTTCATCTCATTTCTCTTTCAGTGTTTCTTTAAGCTACCGTACTACCTAAGCCCTTTACACCTATTATATTCGCCTAAATCATCCTTATGACGGCTATCATACTGTTCGATTAAAGTTTTTCTTTCATTCCATAACGTAACCATAAAGCATTTCTGAACAGGATTACATTCCCAGGTACTCGAACGTGTTGAAAATGATCCCTCTATCCCAGTTGGTGCGCCGTTGTTCCTCGAGGACCTGAACGACAATCTCGCCATCATTGGCTCGAAGTGAGGGCTTTATTTGCGATCTCCACTTAAAAATTTCTCTATATTTATTTTACATAAATACTTAGTTGAACGCTAAAAGAGTACCGCGTTCATATATACAAAGTTATAACAGGAACGAAACGTTTTGTGAAGTCTTCGGCCACTTTATCTTTCCCGAAAACTTTATGTTCAGTACACCATTAGCTAACAATACACCAATCTGAAGACAGCGAAACCAAGAAACCCCTTAAATAATGCTCATGCTTCTCAGTACACCACTCAGGATTATTCGCTTGTCAACCGTGATGCTACAAAATATGGCGAATACATTTTTTGTAAGAGTAAATAAAATAGCAGAAAGAACAGTCAATAAATTAGGACCCGTACTCCTTCTCCTGCTGGTCTATCACCACGACGATCGAAACCTGGAACAAAGAGTCCTGTGTTGCTATCACCTGGGAGAGAGCACTCGATAGAGGTGGGTTGTTTTTTTTCAGTTCCTTGTTTCCTATGAAACTTAGTGGTCTGTTTTATCTCCTGCTGCTATCTGCAGTGCTTAAATTATCAGGTATCTGTCGCATTCTATCATTCTGAGCTTGGCATGGCATGAAAATAAGATGGGAACAACTCTACGCCACCAGTTAACCATGCCTGATCTCATGATTTCTCCAATCCAAACCATCACTTTAAGTGTTACTTTGTGAGCACTAGCCGATCGACTCATAGTGCCCAATGAGAAACTTTCCTTCATTAAATCGAGTTAGGTGCAAAAAATAGGAACCGTTTGAACCCAGAAATTCCAATCACAGGTAGCATAGAACACTTACTTACTTGGATACTTGGATAACTTGTCTTTAGTGGTTGTGCGTCGCATTCCATTCTTTGTCAAGCCCATTCCTTTTAGTGGATTTCAGAGTCGTTTTTGGGTTCATCGCATTGATACGAGAGGAATCGTGTAACTGGGTGTACACTTTTCTTCCCTTTTTGAAATTTTCGCTGAAACAGAAGTTCTGGGCTCGCTTCATTTTCCATCGTTTTAGTAACACAATCAAATTGTTAATGAACTATTTTCATTCAACACAAGTAACAATTTCCGTCGTGAATGCTCCAGTTTGAAGAACGCACATGTTTTTCAAATTCTCAGTGGAAGAAAGAATTGTTTTTGTTTCTATCAAAATACAGAATTTCTAAACGAAATTATTGTTGGAGTCTGACCGTTCGTTGAAGGTGGTAATAGCAACGAAGCGTGGCAAGCTTAGCTTTCTACCACCAGGAGAACTTCCACCTGAAATTGACGACGAGGATGCTAAAATGGATGAACGGAAGCAGGAGGTGTGAAATTTTGTTCAATTAACGATATAAGCCTATTTAATACATAACAGACTATGCGCATTGATTTGAATGCTTACGGAGCGAAAATAATGAATAATAAATATCACAAAATATTTTAACTTAGCGTATCTCGTCTCATAATGAACGGTATTGATTGAAGTAGGAATCATTAGAATCTACAGATGGATCAGAGCCTCTTTATACATCTGTCAAGCTCTTAACTCCTTAATTACTTTAATTGTGAAAAAAAACTTGGAGTTTAATAAAACAATCAGCATGGTCCGTTATGTGTTTAAGAACAAAATGCGTGATTCACGAAATCCAAATCAGCATGGTTTTTGAGGACAAGTCATTTTAATTGCTTGCTCATATCATGACGGCTCTGTAAAAGTTTTCTCTTTTAATTATTCCTTTTTCTTTTTTTAGTTTATTTTTTGTATGACCGTTTGGTTTCCCTTCCAGGTAAAACCTCTCACTCACAAAGACGAATTCCAAGATCTCCGCGAAAAGCTTGAGCGCGAGAATGAACGAAGAAAGGTTCGATTTATTTCATTGTTTCGGCTAATGTGAAATGTTATTATTAGCCTGTTTTCCATCTAAATCCTAAAAGAGATGTAATCCTATTGAATGGAATGATTTCAATTCTACTTCAATTTCTAGATCACTTCCAAGCCTATAACTGTTACTTACCGAAAACAGTGATGGCTTGATTATTTTGGATCTGTAGGACCTTTTTTTCCAGAGTCATTTCACGATTTTCACCGTCGTTGTTTAGCTGTACATTTTTCTTGCTAGGTCAATGCAAATAGAATTAGAAATTGATCGCTAGAAAAACTACTACACAATGCAAATAAAAAAAAACTATTACAAACTCTAATGACGCATAATACCTTGCCGTGAAAATTGTAGTAGGCAGTAAATAAATAAATAAATAAACATTGTGATTTTCGATTTCGACTGCAACCTCAGCTAGCTTAACTGGGTTCAATGCCGATGTGGGCTGCCCAGATCAATCTCGTTCACATGTGATTGCTGATACCACTAGTATATAGAAAACTATCTGAGAGAAACAGTGTAAGGGCCTCCGTGGTGCAGCGTGTAATAAGCGAGCCCCCGGAAAGGAAAGTCGTGGTCCGATCTGACCCGGGGTCCAAGTTTTGCGAACATCTCAGCATCGTTGTAGTTGATTTCGCATAATACCCTGCCGTGAAAATTGTACTAGGCAGTAAATAAAAAAATAGGTGTTACAAACTCTATTCAAAAATTCATATCAAGGGGTCGTCCTGTTTCTCCTCTGTAGTTTTGCAATAGAATCTACCACTTTCTCAGTGTTTTCTAAACAAATGTCTTGGCTGTTGTGGTCATGTGGTCATAATTGACTTTACAGTTCAGTTGTAGAGCACGTATGACAACTACGCAAATTTTATTCAGGCTGATAGAGAGGAACTGGAACGATACAGACCTAAGAATATTTACAAAGACGACCTCGAGTTTGATAGGCCTGGCTACGATGTGGACGATTCGCCATGGGACTCCCATTATCAGGTTCCCTCGTTTTCACTGACAGTAAACGTAGCAATGTAGTTAGAAGAGATACACATGTGATGTGTTCGACCTCTCTTTTTGGGCTAACCAAATCTCCTTCCTGGATAGGTAAATTGGTATTAGAGTTGACCAGGTGAATAGCAGCACCAACTTGATATCTCGGTGGACCAACCTAAATCGTATGGATTAAATATACACTCATTTACGTTTAGGATACTAGGGAAATTCGAATGCATGATACACCCTTGACGATCAATGCCGAACACTTTACCTTTCATCTTTATCCATACTGATTTATTAGTAATCCGTTGTTTTTGTGTCAGTTAAAATTTACTAGACAGCCTTCTTTCTTCTTTGAAATCGATTGACTATTAAATAAATAGGTTATCATAGTTTTTTGCTGCATTATTTCTAAATGACTCTTAAACAATTCAGATCGGTCCTGATACTTATTTGATGGCAACTCAAGGTCCTTCGTTCAATGCTCGTGTCCGTGACTATCGTCGCAATCTATGGGGTGATGGAGCACCACTGGTCAGAGAGGGTATTCTTGGTTACAGAAACCAGGACATTACTGTACGAGAACGAAGAAGGCATGTTTTTTTTTCTGAGACAGCAAATTTTGCTCCTATAGTGCTAAATTTTTATTCTGCTGTTTTCCCTTGATGTTGACGTAGTAGAGAAGGGAATTTTTCTCAATATTTAATTTGATGCCCCACAAAAGCTTTTTTGCTCCAGGTACACAGACATACTTCGTGAGCTACAGACCGGAATACAACCGAAATCGAACGAAAACGCGACCGCGCTCCGGAAAGCGCCATCGCTAAGTGCCATCGAGCGGATTAAAGCCGACATTGACAAAGTCTCTCCATGTGCCACCAGACGTAATGCGGATGGAAGTGAGTACACAGGAGAGATTGATTTGCAGAATACACAATATTCGAGATGGTCTAGATCATTGCACGAAATTACAAACATTTCTTGCTTGCTTGTATAGCAAGAGCATCTTTAGAAATGGGATTCTATATCCACATGAAGCCTCACTAATAGGTCACGGAAAGTCCTTTACCAAAGAGTTAGTGATTCCTGTTTCCTAAAAAACGTGGATGAGTGTGTTTCACGAAAACTCGTTCTAATGTTACTTACTCATTTACAATTGAGCAATCGCCTTTCTAAAATTCCCAAAGCTCGTACAGAAATCATAGTATTCAGTTGGTTGCTAATTTGTTGATTCGGGAGGATTTTCGATGCATACAGTCTTGGAGACCGTACTACAGACTCTCTAGATCGTGCAACCTATTCTGAGTTTAGCAGGCCTTAATGCAGAATGAATCCCCGCAGTATGTCACAATTCTACATTCTCGAACACTGCCGGCCAGAATGCGACTTTGAACCATTGCGAGGCTATGTTGATTAAAATTTCCATTTTTTTTCCTCTTCTAATTTCAATATATCACACTAAATAGGAGTTATTGTGAAGAGCAGGCGAATTAGCATTGCTTGCTTTAATGATCTTTAATTTGTAGAAAATAGCCATTAACCCATGTCGGGCTTAAATTTCCTCGCGAAGCCTTGTACAATAAATCAGATTCGATCCAACACTACAAATTATGTCTCAGATCATCACTAGATTTTTCTCAATGTTACATTGATAAAACTTTAGCTTACGCTCCGATCTTTGTCTCCCGTCTTCGTGATGTCTATCTCCGAAAGTCGTCGTTTGTCGTTTTTGAGTGCATTGTGTCCGGAAGCCCGTCTCCCAATATCGAATGGCAATTCCAAGGTTCTACATTGCAAAACGATGGAAAGTACATGATCGAGCAAGTCGGTTTATGAAACCGTCCCATGTGTAACGCATATGAACGTTGGATTAACAAATAATGAAATCCCGATTCACGAAATTTTAGGGCCAGTCCATTTGTCGTTTAACCATCTCTCAACCAGCTGTTTATGATGTTGGCGAATACACTTGCATTGCGTCAAATGAATACGGAACTGACAAAACCTCCAGTCTGCTGATCACTGGAGGTGAGCAGATGCTATTAAGACTTTGAAACTCTTTTGAAAATTTGAAATTTATTGACTGGGCTCTTTGTATTTGGGAACGAAACGACGGAAATCCTAAAATCGTGCATGACTTCAGAAGCACCAGCTCGCCCAGGTCGTCCTGAATGCGAGATCATCTCAGACACAGAAGCGCTAGTCACTTGGGAAGCTCCCGATGGTCCTACATGCCTTGAGGGAATCGTTTATCGGTTCGAATATCGACAAGCAGGTTTGTTTAACATTTATTTTAAGCTTTTGTTTTATCTATGAAAATTCTATCTGCAGTGATTTATCATCGCTTTTGCCTATTTTCTAGTCTTTATGGATACGTTCAGGACCTGACGACTACAACGCTCCCTGGGTGATGATAAGCGATTCAGTAGACGATGAGGCTGCTGTTGTGAAGCATTTGGAACCTCTTACGTTCTATCAGTTCCGAGTCACAGCTAGAAACGGCTTCGGATGCGGAGTACCGAGTCTGACCAGTAGGATTGTGCAGACTAATGCAAGAGGTATTTGATATGTCTAAAAACGCCCTGCGTTCTTCTGTTGCGCTAATGGACTTAACTAGAACTTTATTCCCAATTTTCTGTTGTTTATTATTCGTCCATATTTTAATTCTTGTCGTCTATTTATTCGCACAGAAATTAACAAGAGCGACTTAAGGAGCTCCTAAATTGCCGTTAGACGGAATGCGGGGTGAGATCCGCTTCAATGTCCTCACAGCGCCTCAGAAGACATCTGCCCGACAACTGGAGGAAATCTCCGAGGAGAGCGAAAGCGACAATATGTCACAAACAGAGCCCTACAGGTCGCTAGAGCTACTCTCTGCAGATCCCACCAACAGATTCCAGGTCCGTGGAGCAATTCTTCTTGGTGTTATCTTTTTGTTCCTCCTATAGTGGTTGTATTTATACTGTGCTATGTTCATTACTACAAGCAATACGGCAAAAGTATTAGGATGTACTTATGACCAATTAGTGAATGGCCGCGAAATAGTTGAAATCAGTTCAAAGCTGTTGATTGTTAAGTTGGAAAAATCATTCGACGGCTTCTGTAAAATTTGTGTGGAGCGATATTGAACACATACGAGCTTAGCGAGTGTTGAACTAAGATGTTTTCCTTGTCGAAAAAGCGTTGTCATTCTGATCGTATTTTGTGTTTATTTGTTGATTTTGTTTGTTCTCACCTATTTACCGTTATTCAACTAATCCATTGTTATATACTGTTTGGTTGATCCACTGTGAATAAGTCTTTTAAATTTTTAGATCGAGTCGTTACTCTTCAAAGGAAGATTCTCGGTAATACGACATTCCGTCGATTCCCAGAAAGAGGCTGGTGCTCACTGTGTGGCGAAAATCCGATCTCTTCAAGGTATCCTTAACAAAACTCTACTTAGAGGTGAAGAAAAACGACTCAGATAACAACGAACACGAGTGTGAAATTTTATTAACACTGTAGCAAATCCCATGACCGACTTTCTGTTTACCTCGGTATTGATTGATAATTCGATGTTTTTCCTTAATAAGCAGACACGAGGTTGTTATCATAGAATTTATTCGGATACAATAGCTGACGTTTCGGCGGTTTCGCCTTCTTCAGAGCCTGGAAAGGTCAAATTGAGATGTGATCTACTCAGCCAAACACTTTCACAACACTAGCAGATAAAACTTGACAATTCGATTTGCATTCGCATAAGAAACAGCTTCATTTACACCTACCGTTTATTTGTTGTAAGTATTTAAGTTAGATGATGGATAGCAGCCGCACAGAGTAATACAGGGGTAAGGACTGCACCTGTGTCAGGTCATTCATTGGATTAGCCTGAGGTATGGCGCCAGGTCACGCGTGATGACAAGACAATCCCCCTTGCGGTTTATTTTTGAACTTTTGGAATTCATCCAAAACGCTCCAAGAGTTTTACGCGCTGATGTTTTCGATTCCTACGTGAGGACAGTGTCTCCTACTTCGAAATCTTCTCCGTTATGTCCCTGCATCCTAGGCGCGCCTAGTGGAGTGTTTAGTCTTAATTTAGATTTACTGACTAGGTGTTCTTTTATGCGGACGCAGAGCGGTCTACCCGTTTCGCCAACGTATTCGTCCCCGAACGCTTTACAAGGGATCAGATAGACTGTACCCGAACTCATGCAATCTCCGTCTCTACCGTTAGGGCTAATTATGCAGTTTTTTGTTATACATAGACGGTCATATAGGCGGTTGCGAATTAGCTGGCGTCTTAGAGTGTCCGATGGTATTTCTATCACTCTTACGGAATTCTCTAGACCGGTCCTTATTAAGCAAGTTAAGTTTTATAGCCTTTATGTCAAAAGTAGAAACACCAGTAATCGATCTTAGGCCATTACTCTTACTTACTTACTTGGATACTTGGACGATCCGTCTTCACGAGCTGTGCGGACCCCAGAACATGTGCCATTCGTTCCTTTCTCTCGCAATTCGCAGCCCATGGTAGCGCTTGCGAGTCTCATACCGTGATGTGTAAAACAACTGTAGCTGCGGGTACAGCTGATTATCTTTGTTTACGAACACGTCCGCCCAACAAGTAAGTGGTCGTCCTAGGGGACGTTTGCATTCTCTTGCAGTTTACTCTACTGTTCTTTTCGTCCATCCTTCGTCTGTTCTTCTCATTATGTGACTGGCCCATCTATGTTTAGCTGTCAATGTGTGTATATTTTCCTGGATCTCGAAGATGTGACAGATTTCGAAGGTCAGAGCTTCGCATTCCGGCTACATATTGAGAGTGCCGGTTATATCTCAAAAGACATCGCTCAAGCGCTCTGTCAGTAGTGCGAAGCATTCTTGACGTAGTTGAAGTATCAACCAACGTCACTGCAGCATAACAGAGCGCTGGGAGGACCGTAGAATCAAAGAGATGAGCGCGGATTTTCGGGTCCTTCAGTTGGTCGTTGGCTTCTTTCAGAGGCCCGAATGCGGCCCAAGTTGCTCTCCTTCTTCTATCTAGTTCCTCGTTCGTGTTGTTTTCCATGTTCATTAATCGCCCAAGGTAAACGTACGAGGTGGTCTCTGCAATGAGAGAGCCATCCAATTCAATTTTTTTGCCTTCGCACCATGGGTTTTTCATGAACTGGGTCTTCTTTCGTTTTATCCGAAGTCCAATCTTTTAACCCGCTTCGTTGAATTCGTTGATCATCATCTCGGCTTTGCTAGTACTTCTTGAGAAGATGACAATATCGTCGGCAAAACGAAGGTTTGATAGGAATTTTCTATCAATACGTATGCCTTTCTCGACCCAATCGAGTGACTTCATTATCTACTGCAGTGCGGCACTGAACAGCTTTGGCGATATTATGTAGCCCTGTCGAAGCCCTTTTCCTATGGGTATTGTAAGAGATCGATGGGAAAGCTGTATTTTCGCAGCGCGGTTCCGATAGCAGTCGGACAGTCCTTATGTCAGACGGCTCCACTCCTTGGTCGACGAGCGCTGATAGAATCGCATTCATTTCGACACTGTCAAACACTTTCTCATAGTCGACAAAGGTTAGGACTAGAGACAAGTGGTAATCCCGACAAACTTCGATGACCCTAGACACGATTTGGATGCGCTCCATGCAGCAAAGTCCTCTCCGAAATCCTGCTTGCTCAACTGGTTGCGCCTCATCCAATGTCCTTGATATGCACGAGAGGATAATCTTCGTGAAGAGTTTGTAGAGTACACTTAACAAGCATATGGGATGATAGTTACGAAGATCCACCCGGTCTCCTTCTTGGGTAGGATAACCGTGCGCGGCGTCCTTTACTGGTCTGGGATTTTCTCCTTTTGAAGGTAGCCTGTCATATGATTTGCGAGAAGTACATGTAAATTGTGGCCTCCAGCTCTAAGGAAATCGGCAGTGATATTATCGGGTTCTGGAGCAGTACCTCTTTTCATGCTTTGTATCGCAAGTCGAACCTCTGATGGAAGAATTCGAGGTGGTTTTTCTCCATCGGGGATATTAGGGTTCGGGACGGGGATTGTGGAACGGAAAAGGGAAGTGTAGAACGTTCCTGTTATTAATTCCATATCATGGCGGGAAGTTTTGACGATCCCATCTTATTTTCTGCCTACTATAACTATACTATATGTTCCCCACCATAGACACCTGCGGTCCAGAGTTTTGCAAATATCTCAGCAACGTTGTGATCCCATCTTCGTTCGTCAGGGCTGACAGCGGAACATTATATAATAGTTCATTACCTCTCCTCTCATCTCTCACACATTAAAAGGGCTCTTATAAGAAATATGTTTCGAACCACTGCCAGCGTGTGCACAGGTTGAGATCAGAGGGAAGAATCCTCGAAACTGGTGCACCAAATAGCCATTTCAAATGGTTACGAAACTGTAGCTTTTCGGCATAGGCATAGAGGAAAAACCACGCACCAGAGCGATAATTCTAACGAAAAAAAGGCTCTGTTCCTTTTGTCCTTTATTTCAAACGAAATAAGTGCAGCTATAAAATGTTGCTTAATAAGGGCCGGTCTTGAGAATTCCGTAAGAGTGATAGAAATACCATCGGACACTCTAAGACGCCAGCTAATTCGCAACCGCCTATATGACCGTCTATGTATAACAAAAAACTGCATAATTAGCCTTAACGGTAGAGACGGCGATTGCATGAGTTCGGGTACAGTCTATCTGATCCCTTGTAAAGCGTTCGGGGACGAATACGTTGGCGAAACGGGTAGACCGCTCTGCGTCCGCATAAAAGAACACCTAGTCAGTAAATCTAAATTAACACCAAACACTCCACTAGGCGCGCATAGGTTGCAGGAACATAACGGAGAAGATTTCGAAGTAGGAGACACTGTCCTCACGCAGGAATCGAAAACATCAGCGCGTAAAACTCTTGGAGCGTTTTGGATGAATTCCAAAAGTTCAAAAATGAACCGCAAGGGGGAGTGTCTTGTTATCACGCGTGACCTGGCGCCATACCTCAGGCTAATCCAATGACCTGACACAGGTACAGTCCCTGCCCCTGTATTACTCTGTGCGGCTGCTATCCATCAACTAGCTTAAATACTTACAAAAAATAAACGGTAGGTGTAAATGAGGCTGTTTCTTATGCGAATACAAATTTATTTGTTAAGTTTTATCTGCTAGGGTTATGAAAGTGTTTGGCCGAGTAGATCACATCTCAATTTAGCCTTTCCAGGCTCTGAAAAAGGCGAAACTGCCGAATCATCAGCTATTGTATCCTAATAAATTCTACGATAACAACTGTAGCAAATGTTTCTAATCGATTTGCCTCACATGTAATCCTACCGAAAATTAAGTAATTCGTGCGGGCTTTACTATAGTTCTCGTTTGTCACCATCACCTATTTCTCACAGCTACCCAGTAGGACCCATTAGCTCTAGGGATGCGGATATTTCAAATTTTTATCATGAGGCACGTTATTCTCACTAACTTCGACGAGAATATGGCCACAATTACCTTGTTAGGTTGTGCTATGGTAAAGGCTTGCTTTTACCTAGACTTCCTGATAAGAGTGTTGAGCCCTACCTACCTCGACTTACCCTGCTGAAAGATAAACCTCGCTTTTCATCACACTTGAACATTAGGATCAGCTTCTAGCAAGTTTAAGACATTAATTCATTGATGGTGGAATTCCAATGGAATTTCTATTGAAAATGCCTGTCAGTGTAAACACGTTTGTGGGTTTTCATGAGATCTTCATCATCTGAGCTTCATTGGTCCACATAATCATGTGACCTACTAAGCGTTATGCTTGCCTTTCGAGTTTTCTTATTCTTTCTTCCGTCATTTACAGTGCTATGATTAGTTACCATAATTATTTGGAACCTTCACTATCACTACAGATTTATGTCGAACACTTGCAGATGATAAGGAAGTAGTGCGCGAGTACGAGACGTTGAAAGAAGCTCAACACGACAACGTTCAGCACCTTATCGCCGCATATCAAAAGTAAAGTGTTCATGAACTTCTTCTTTGTTGACATTTAGAGCTGATTAACTTGTTACACTGTCAGACATGTCGTTGACTGAAGTCTTGTAAAATTCTTCAAATATATAGTTTTTTCAGCAACGGTTTTCTCTATTTATTCTGTGAACGACTCTATGAAGATGTTTTCTCTCGATTCACGCATTGTGACTATTATACAGAAGAGCAGGTCGGTCCACTTTTTAGTCGACTTCGGATTCCTGAGCTCTGTTAGAACATTCAGAACATTGGAACACTATATATCGATTTCAGATTCGACTTACTATTGGGCAGTTGACAAGCGCCCTACATTGGTTACACTTCAGAGGGTATGAATCGATTAGAAAAAATTATTGACTAAGTAGGAAATTCCATCGATTAACCAGATTTAACTTTCAGCATCGTTCATCTTGACGTTAATCCATATAACGTGATGTTCCAGTCGAAAAGGAATTGGATTGTAAAACTTGTCGATTTTGGCAGTGCTCAGGTAGACCTCAGTGGCATAAATAGCTCTTGAAAATGTCATGTATGCATCCTTATACTTATCCACCTCCAATTTTCTGAAGCTAAAATCGGTGTGGCATATAAATGTAGTTTTCTTTTACGCGAGTCGTCTTCACTTCTCTAGCGCGGATCTCAGCCCTTCGTGCATTTCATTTCTTTCTTCGCATCCAACATCCACGAAAGTTCTGATTTTTGGCATACAGGTTCATCGTCGCTTGAGAATAATTCTTTGTGAATGTTTTCGAAGTCTTGGGGTAATCGGACTAGAATGTTCCCACTTATGTTGCCAGAGAATGTTTTCCCCCCAGACAAATCTGGTGTTAATCTTTGACCGCGGAATGATGGAAGGGGCACGGGAGAGGAATGTCGAACCAGCACCGTATTGATCATGATCGGCATCACTACCATTGCAATTCCCGACTCTACGATGTAATATTAATGTGGGGTTGCAATATTTCATATTAACTTAGGACTTAAAATCTCAAGCCTAGTTTTTCACAATACCAAGCGGTGAGTTGAAGTGAACCCATACCGGCTAAGGTTTCTCACACGTACCCGTCATAGATACCTTTTTCGTTGGCAGCTGTCTTAACAGGAACGACGATTTCTTCTCATGTTCTCTAAAATGAGGTCTTAAATCGGTTATAAATATTATTAAGTGTGAAGAGGGTTCGCGCTCAATGAAAGATCTGTGATAGCTGTGAGAATCTAAGAGGAAAGTTTTGCACAGCAAAATAAGTGGTTTTAAAAAACCGAGTTGATATCAACTACTGTGAGATCTGAGCGTTAACAGAAGGATTATGCTGGTGTGCGCAATCGACTCTGTTTTTTTTCTTTTTTTTTTGTAAAAAATACACCTACAGTTCTCATTATTTTCGCTATTTTTGTAACAGACGATTTCGAATTGATTGCTTAAGTTCTGTTGCTAATAAGTATGTTTGTTTTAGATCTTTCTAAATTTTCCCATTCCAGCTCACAAAAGAAAGTATCAAGCCTTCTGAATTTGACGTGGCTTGGGCTGCTCCTGAGCTTCATGCCAAAGACACCCCAGTAACTGTACAAAGCGACGTGTGGGGTATGGGTGTGATCACATTTTGCCTGTAAGCGTTATTCTTTTGATATCTTTATATCTCGTTCAAGATACTAAGCCAGAAAATAAATAGCTGCTCTTACTTCAATTGTTTGCAGATTGAGTGGATTCCATCCATTCACTTCTGAATACGATCGCCCAGAAGAGGTCAAAGAGAATGTGATAAATGTAAAGTGTGATCCGAACCTGATCCCTGTGAACGCTAGTCAAGAGGCTCTCAGCTTTGTCACATGGGCACTGAAAAAGAATCCACTGTGAGTTAAAATATATTCAGTGTTAGATCATTACTTCAAAGTCAACGAAGACATCGTATATTTTATTAGATGCAACTGTAGGTTGCTTTCAATTGAATTATTAACTTTGGTAACCCACATCCTATCGAACGTAGCGATAGCGAGGTCTGCTTCCGATTGGTTCTTACAGCCAATGGGATTGAAGAAGACCGCAGCTTTATTTACTATACATGATTGTGCCATTGAAGGTGTTTTTTGGTGGTTATGTAGAAAGTGTTCAGCTGTAAAAGTAGAGAATGTGTGATTTATTACAGCAAAGCGAATAGTTTATATACAGGTTCAGTAGTGAAAAAACTATTTTGCTAAAGTTTCTCATAAGTGTCTCCGCGTCGAGTGATCGCAACCCGTCTTTCGGTCTTCGAACCGAGGAATTGTCAGTGGTTTCGAAATCCTCGTAGCACTGTGTAGTGTGAGAAACATATGATGACCGAATCAATAGAATTGTCGAATTGCAACAAAGTTCCACATCCCACTTCGGGTGGAATAACATCACTCCAAAAACGTACACAAATTTGGTGGAAACAAGCGAACATCTATCGTGTATTTCAATTTTACACATCTGGACTTCACATATTGTGCGGATCCCAACGCTTCCTTCATTCTACTCGTTTCCTCCAATCCACGATGCACGAAGTTCTTTGGATCTCTGTGTCGCTTCTACTGTTGCCTGAGGAATTTTGGTCTTCTAAATGCCGCTGATCGAGTAGCTTCTGGGTTTGAACCCTGACGTGGTCGTCCTAAGGCTTTCTCAGATCTTATTGTGGGTAGTCTACAACTTTTTTGGATTGGAGAGAGCTTCTTGCTTTTAAATGGGTCTGCCACCAATTTTTCCATCTTAACAGGAATGATTGTGGGGAGAGAGGGATTTAGTTGTCCAGTGATTTAAATTACATCCCTATCAATGCGCTGCTACCTGCGCCCCGAAGAATCAAATATCAGGAAAGATTCACATTGAAACTTGTTTGGAATGAAAACAATGTGATATTCAACTGCCTGAGAGATTCAGCCCAGGCAATACACTCATATATATATATATATATATATATACATATAATTATATTGCGATAATTTCCCCTTTCATCTTGGTGCTTCCAGACGCCGAATGCGAACGGATGAAGCCTTGTCGCACCGCTTCTTGTCATCAAATCAACAAATGGTGCGAAGAAGAGAAACAATTAAGTGAGTTTCTAACCTCTACAATTGATCACAATTTGTATATAACAGGAAAAGATCTCTGTTTTCCAATCGTTTTTATTTGATTAACAGAGTTCAGTAGAGTTCAAGTACAACCGCTCTACCGTATAGAATTTCTGAAACGATCATCCGATAACGTTGCAGCTTTTTATATGACACTAGTCAACTCATCTTGTATTCCGATCACGCCATGAACTATGAAGTAGTGAATTCAATGATTATATCTCCTTCTTCTTAACTCCTACCAACTATCAAGCTCTTTGCCTCATCTAAGAAAAATTTTCAGTAGAAACAGATGTGTAGACGTGTTTTATTTCTTCGAATTCCTTGTAGAAGCTGTTGTGAACACTTAGCATTTATTGAATATTTGAAAATAAAATGATGTATTTAGAGAAGTAAACCTTCTAGATATGCTTCCTCGCGCCTCTGTAAGACGGCACTGCTTACCAAGCAGAACCAGACGCAACCTGAAAACACTGAATTGGAACAGAAGTACGGTGGAAAGACTATACAGTAATTGCTAGGATCTAACCTCTAACATTTCTAATCGACCGAATGCTTATTGATTGCTTGATTGATCGTCGAGACGCTCTAACTATAGCTTCGAATCGAAATTTAAACGTGTAGATTCGTGTAATTTTAGTATACCAATTCTATTTTTCATTTGGGTGCTCGTGAAAGGATGGGGAACTTTCTCGAACATCTTATTTCCAAGAATTTGAGTTTTATTGCAGTAATTTCATTTAGTTAGTTATTTATCTTCTGCTTTACGTAAATGCGAATTGCGGTCAATTGTATTTCAGCGCCGGCCCAGGTTCTATGTTGTTCTTGTTTTTTCATATTTGTTTTTTCTGTTTCTTCTAGTAAACATTTGTTGTCGGCGTATCATCAGTTTGTTTAATCATTAAGGAACGAAGGGAAATACTGATTTAAAAAATGTGAGCCATACCGGCCCTAGAAGCCTTCATGATCCCTAACATCCCCTTTGAAGGAAGAAATAAAACATTTTATTAACTGGGCGATGTTAAATAGTGAATATCTTGCTTTCACCGATGATTTCATGAATAATACGGAAAGACCATCTGAAAACCTTCACATCGTGACACATGTGTTGAAATGGTACGTGTATGTTGTCATAGGGCGCGTGTAGCGCAGTAGTTGGAGGCGCCGCTGCGACACACACGTGGAATCGATACCCTCGCCTATGGCCCACCAAGAGTTCCATTCCTCCGGGGTCGGCAAATTGGTACCATATTTGTTTGGGAGGATAACAGCACTGGCTCAATACATCGGTAGGCCACCACGAGTCATTGTTAAGACCAGACATGCATTCAGTCACCTACAAACGATGCTTAATGAGCTTTATGTTGTGATGATCCAGAAACTACCATCTTAACGTCGTATATCTGAGATTTAGTATGTTTGTTCAAAATAAGATTCTCGACGTTGAATAGATCACATCTACCAAGCATAACTTTTTGTCTTCTATTCAACGAAATATGATCTGCTGACTATCGATGAGTATAGTTTCCTGATTCACACATGATCGCCTGTATCACCTGTAGTCTCGTTGACCATTGAGTGACGAGCCGGCTTCTTGTAGGCTTTTCCTGAGGAACTCTGACCATCGCGTCGGTGGTCGTCTGCACAGAACGGCATCCTTGATTTTTCATCGTTGACGTAGGTCGGACCTTCGGATCCCTTCCCTTATTTATGTGAAACGGGATACTCCTAGCATCGTCCTTTCGGCTGCACGTTCGATAACGCTGAGCGATCTATCATCCTGCTTACGCAACGACCAGGTTCCTGACGCATACGTTAGGACAGGAAGTACCGTTGAGTCGAAAATGTGGGTACAGAGTCGGGTGTTCTTTGTTCTCTTCACTACAACCTCGATCCAGCATAGCGAAGATGGTAGTTGCCGACCATCGATTTTCACTTCCATGTTGTCCCATTCCAATGTTCGCATGACGTTCTCGCGGTTGGCAGTGAATAATTTTGGCGGGATGGTATCGCTTTGCCTTGCCCCTCTTTTGACGTCAATGTTAATATCGTTGTAGAATGGTGATATCTTCATTGCGAAATTTTTGTACAGCTCACGAAGAATCCTTTCATATAGAGTAGGAACTTCTTGGTCTATTTCGTTCCGTGGGAAGTCTTTTTCCACTTCTTTTCTAATCCATTAGTGTTAGTAATAGCAACTTCTGTGGCCCTGTGTCGCGTACCCTAATCCAAATGAAATGAATTTCTTCCAGAAAAAGGGGAAAAGCATTCTGTTGCCTGTGTACCAATATTGTACCAATATTTGTGGCACTAAAACTGACACTAACTGTGGCAGTGTCGACGGTAGTCTGCAATGTATAGCAATACTTTAGTAATCACAAACAGTTCTCTTTCCTCAGATGGAGTGTAGGCAGCCTGTGCACATTCCCAATTGCTTCTTGTTAAAAGATAGATGTTTTGGAAGTTGTTCAGAAAAAGCACAACAACACTCCCAGCACACTCTGCACAGTTGCTGTGATAGAGTGGATCTCTGATTTGTGATGCTGAAATCGTTGATATTATCACAAGTTGGGTAGCTCTTCGTTTTCCACTATATTGTAACCGTTCTCCATACGTCGAATAAATCGATTTCAGGCGAAACGTTTACTATTGCGGAATTAAGGTATTACGGCTTATTAATAATTCTCCACAACACTAATATCCAGAAAATAATAAAGTCTTACACGGTTTATTGAAGCGTTCCATCGCTCCACGTATTCATTACCCTTAGTACTCGGTAGTACTTAGTATGTAAAAAAATGCCGCAACAACGAACTTATCACACAATTCTGTGGACCTGAATATAACCCTATAAAAAATATGAATCTAGTATCTTACTAAGGTTTTTAACATAGGCTCTTCAACGACGAAAAATGAGAAGTTTTGCCGCTTCTGGATCATTTCAGACTATGCAGCAAGTGGTTTTCCGAATTGCATCGGTAGATGCAGTTAAATAAAGTGTATATAGTAGAACTCAAACTATTTTAAAAATTTTTCCTGCTAGGCATGCCTCGAACTTTTTAGGCGGATTTCTCAGAATTAACACATCTCAGTTTCAAGATCTCTGCATATATATATATATATTTATATATATATATATATCACCTGTGAATCGGTGTCCTCCAGAAACGACTGGTTGGATTCGACGCACCAGTGATCGTCCGCATCGTCTTTTCCACCGGAATATGAGAGAAGAATGTGTGAAAACCCAATACAATCAGAACTGTATAAGAACATAAATAAACAAATAGTCTCATCTCATGGGGCGGATAGCACAGTGGTAGTGATGTCCATCACGACCATGGTGGTAGTCTGGTTCCGCTCCGGGCCAACCAAGCCACTCGTCTCTGTGGGGTCGGTAAATTGGTACCGGACTTCGGAAAAAAAATCTCCTCTCGTTTAGAGCTAACAATGGACAATGAAAAATCGTAAAACTACAGTACTTCTTTTTATTTTATTCAATCCGTCTTTACGTCTACTGTGCGGGTCCCAGCACTTCTCACATTCGATTCGTTTCCTCGCATCCACTGTCCACGAAGATCCTTCAACTTTTACGTGTGGCTTCGGTTTCTGAATGAAGATTTCCATTTCATCTGGAATGTTGTAGAATGCTGGTCGACCAGTTCTTCTTAGAGTCCTGAGATAACCGGGCTGGAGCGCTCCCAACTGGGTTGCACAGAGCGATTTTTTCTTTTTTCAGACAAGTCCGATGCCAATTTCCCGAAGCCGGAGGTATGAAAGACTTGGTTGGCCCGGAGGAGAATCGCTAGCACCATGCTCGTGATGTGCAGTAACTCTATAATACTCGCGCAATAGAGCTCTTTATCCAAATTAGGCACGACAAGTCGCAGTAGATCAGTTGTGAAGCTAGAACACATTATGAGACCAAACTATAAGAACGAATGTTTCGTAAGAACTATCGGAAGAAGAATTTAAACACTCACTCATTCTTCCCACAGCAACATTTCACATTGTCCTCCCGCGTCTCCATCTTCTTCATAACCATTAAGGGGTGCTATTTGATTGAAAGCGGCTCTCAATTCAAGAAACTCTAATCGTTGAACCGGAAGCATAGGACGAAAAATTTAAAAAAAGCCGCTAATAAAGGAGCAAGAAAAACCTAAGCTCAAATAATGAAGAAATAAAAGTACTTGCTGCAGATTCAGCAAGTTCTCCGCTCAAGTGGGGACACGCATCCTTATCGTCAATGCCTTTGGAGACGTCATCATCACTATCCATCGAGAGTTCATCGAAGTCAGTCGAATTCTTTAATATCAGCCATACTTGGGGCCTATAAGAATAAAATTGTTGGTCAGCTCTTAGTGATAAACTAGAATCTCTTTCCGTATCAGTACAATGGCATTCGTTGATGCCACATGGAATGTAAAAAATGTATAAATGTCTTACCTATAAAGAAATTGCGAAATAGACCCAATTATAGTAACGCAAAAAACACCGCATGCGAACAGCCATGCGGTTGCACGATCGACAATTTCAACAACGGTGTAGTACAGTGTACATAACATATACATTTAAGAAATATAGCAAAGTTGAAGAGATAAGAATTTGGTAGCAATGCGTCTGGGATAATCTGTTCTTCTCTACACCAAGAGTTCCCCATGAATTAGGTTTTCATAAAGTTGACTCGTTGTTCAGTATTCCTTCCATTTCATTGAACTCAGTGAGCACTGCCCGTGTTACTTCCATGTTGTCTCAAAATTTAACAATATCGTCGGCAAAACGAATGTAAAAAAGGAATCATCAATAAACACGCATTGTCGCTGTGGGGTGGCACCACCATAAAACATCGGTGAACCGCTCTGCAATACTATGTCGTCCTTCGTTTTTGTTCTACTGACTGGACATTAAGTAGACTGTGTAGCATATAGTAAAATTAAAAAAAGGACAAAGCTCTCAGTTTGCAAAACTCCGGACCGCAGGTGTTTG